AAGAAGAAAAAGAGAAATTATATGGAGAACAAGTTTTAAATTATCTCAAGAATAAAAGTGCTAGGATTGGAGAGACCTTATTTATGATAAAAATAGGAATGAGAATAAAAATAAATATCATTCTAAATCAGGGGTAAAAACAAAGATTTTATATGCAGTAGGAGTTATTTGGGTTTATCTATTTGTTATGGAATTTTCTTAATTGCATTCATGTAGAATGATGAGAAAAATATAGGTGATGATTCTCTAAATGAAGAATTTAAGGGTAAGGATAGCTTTAAATGGGACGATAAAAAAGAAATCCTAGATTTTTGATTTGAATGGAATTATGATTCTGATAAGTAAATAAATACTTAAAAATATATAAATAGAAATATTTTTTATTAATTATAATAAAAAAGGAGATTATCAATGTCTATTTAACACAAAGTCTAATAAGATAAAATATGCACCAATGAAATACATTTTCTATATAAGGTTTATATGCAAAATTCTAATTTAATAAAAGCACAATAATAATTACAATATATAATGGTATATTTAATCTGTTATATTTATTGGATTATTATATCCTAATATGATAGCTACTCTGTGTATACATATGTGAATTAAATATCATGAAAATAATTTTTGAAGAGACAATCGCTAAAAATATAAGTGAATGAGGAAGTTTAAATATATCGAATACAATTTGAGAAATAGAAAATATATCCTTAACAAAAACGCCAAATATAATAATTAAAACCTGAACCCCGAACACAATAATTATTAGTTCATTATAGATATAATATATTAATTTATAATAAAATTAAGAAAAAATATATATAATTATTTGATTATATTTAAATGTTTTCTTTTATTCATAAGTTATTAGTTATGTATAAGTGCATTTTAAAAAAAAAAACTTGTAATCTATGTGTATTTTTAGGAAATTACTTAAATATTTTATTTCGTATTATATTAACCTAATTTGTGTGTATCCTTGAAAACGAAATTTATGATTAGTGCTGGAGCACCTTTAATTATTTTTTTGATGATTCGTATATATGTTTGTTCTTAAAAATTTTAATTGTGCGATGAATATAATATATTATAATAGTTGAGTCGTCTTATAAACATATATTTAAAAGTATATATATTTTTTTAATTAATACATAAAATATTATTTAGTGATTTACGTAAATATATGTGTAATTCTATTAGGTGCTACATATTTGAAAGGTATTTAATTATACCAGAAGTGCTTACTTTTTATTCTAATTAAAATATTTGAGATAAAAAAATATTCTCTACATATATTAACAAAATTTAATTCTATTTGTAAAAATTAGTTTATTAAATACCACAATAATATATACATATTCATAAAAAATCTTATGCTTTCATTCGAGTGTAGTTCATTTCGCGTGTTCTATTATGTTTCCAGCGTTCTTATTATAATAAAGTTATATATATTTATATTAATGTGTATGTAATTTTGCATTTTGTTAATTATTATTACATAATATACATAACTGAATATTATTAGTTAATTAACTTTTTATTGTTGTCTATGTATTTAAGACTTTATATTAATTAATATTTCTAGTCACGCTAATAGAATATAATGTTGGAAAATACTTGTTCTATACATGTCATATTGAAAATTTTAGTATGCACAGGCTCCTTCATCTATATATAAATATTTACTTTTTATATAACTTACCACCATTATGTATCTCATAAAATAACAACACAATACAGAATTACCATTTAATTATATGTGCTTATTATGTAAATTTTGGTAAGACCATATTTATTGTTACTCATATTGAAATACCAAAAGAAAAGCTAAAATTCATAATTAATGCATAATTTATTATATAAAATTATGATGCCTTTAAATCTAGTACATTTATTATATGTATATATCATATTCTTCTGAATAATTGAATAAAAAAATCCTAATTGTCAGGGATTTTTATTAAATCAACACATACTTGCAAATATATGTAATAGTTATTTCACATTTAAACAATATATATTTGTGTAATTAAATAATAGAAAATTTAAATATTATTCAACAGAAGAAAGCATTACAGAAAATATTAAATAAAAAAATATTAATACCAATCGCCTTTATGAGCAGGATAGATAATATATTTATATATTAATAATAATGAAGAATTTATGATAACATAGTTTGTACTTAAATATATATAACAGGCTAAAATTATTAAGAGTATCAAAAAATTTATAACAATTATAAATTAAAAAAAAATATATATATTAATATTTAAAAATATTAATATAATACAATATATACATTATTCATTTCTCCCTTAATCTTATGTTGCAGAATATGTTGCATTTATAGCATTTTACAGTTAAATAATAAATATTTATTATACATCATATTACATTACATTGCATTCCTCAAGAATAATTTTTCTGAAAAGAAAAATTACAAAAAATGATAATTGTTTTTCAATTAATAGTTTTATATAATTATGTATGATTTTTTGAGTTATATAATAGATTATTACTTATTTGTTATTTATTTTTTAATGTGATATTATTTTTTTTATTTAATGAAAAATAATATCCAACTGTTACATTTTAATAAATTAATTTTATAAATATGTTTATATGTAATATTTAAGTATTTCTATTCCAAAATGCATCATTCTAATATAAAACAACTGTTATTATTTATATATAGATTAATAATTTTTTGAATTTATTATAATAATTACCATTATTTTTCAATACCCTTGAATTTTTCAAAATTTACACTTCTGTTATTAGTTAAATAAATAAATAACTTAGGAGACATTTATAATAATATTGTTACATTAAAAATATTTTTCTTAAAATAATTAATTACTTCTGACTAAATATATTCACAGTTATAATTTATTTTATAACTTAAACATGTACATTAATTTATATATGCTTATTTCTTGTTTAGTATTAATCTACTGAAGAATATGCTATTCTGTGATTATTATAATATGAATCATTTTGTGCATTCTCAAATGAATAAATTAAGTTGAAATGATCATTTTTATTTTTTTTCAAACTTCTCTTAACCTTTTTTACTGGGGATTTTAAAAATTTGCCAAAAACAGTATACTGATAAATAAGAAAAACAAATATTTTTATATTAGATCATTTATATTCTGTGATTTTTTCAGAATAGTAAAAAATATGAATAACAGTGTAAGATACATATAATATATTTAATTTTTTTTCAACTTTATACAAAACGAATAAAATTATTATTATTGCAAAGGTTGATACAGCTATTCCTGTATTTGACCCGCTTGATAAATATAATAAATTGGCTTGATCTTCACAAGGAGGATTTGATTTCACATATTTATCATAATCAGATTTAAATTTATCTAATTCTGATTTTAAACCCTTGTTTTGTGATTTTCTGTTTATTTCTGAAAGTTTATCATATATATCCATGCATTCATTATTGGAATCACATAAATGCTTATTAGTTTTTTGATTAGTACTTTTTAAATATTCAAATTTAATGTGTAGATCGTCCAAATATTTCATAACTTGAAATGTATTATGATCAATATTATTATCTGCTGCATAAACATTACAGACATGAGAAATTTTTGCTGGGTAATTTTTAGGTTTTCCAAATTGTGGTTTATACCCTTGTATCATTTTTTCATAGCATTCATTAGTTGTGTAGCATTGTCCATTATATGTGCTCACAAGATCTTTTAATTTGTAAAAAAAATATAAACATCTTCTTTTTTTATCATTATCTGTATTATGTTCTATATGATGTAAATATACTCCAAGATATGAGCAAAGGTCTGAAACATGAAAATCATATCCAATAACATTAATGTTATTACGAAAATCACTGCACATACTTGAAAATTTAGTCCAGAATCCTCTATCCCTACCTTTAACTCTTTCGTATTCCTTTCTACATGTGGGAAATATACCTTCAAAATTAAACTGAATATGAAAATATAAACAGTTTACCAAAAAATATATATTTATGTTTGAAAAGGTAATATTTTTTTTATTTTCATAGATAATCATATTTTCTAATTAATGGATATAAATTATTAGAAAATAATAAATCAAAACAAACGTCCTTGTTCACAGTTATATTTTCAGCCATGATTCATAATAATTAAAAAATTTTTATATATATTATCATAACAGCTTATAAGAATATCGTGATAAAAACTACACATATACAATATGAAATAAATAATACAATTTACAGAATCCATAGGAATTCTTATAATTTATATTTTTATTTAAATTCCTTAAATATTATGGAACTACATTTTAATTTTTTTTTTTTATATGGTGAAACTTTTATTATATAAATGCATATGATTTTAAATGTATTACAACGTTTATATACATTATAAATATTACATAATAATAAATTCCTTTTTAATGTTCTTATTTATACAACAATATTATAACAGAGATGTTTTCTATTATATATTTCATCTATGATATTCAAACTTATAATATATTTATCGTACTACATTTATTCAAAAAAATTTTATTCACTTTAATTGCTAGATAATAATGTTATAATTATAGGATATTTGGGTTTAGAGAATATGGATAATATTTTGAATAAACTTTTAACTATTAGTTAATGTATTGTATTTAATTATCCTAATTAACTGTTTTGTACTTAGTAATTTTTTTTGAAATAATATAAAATGTTTTATACCCTTATTTATATCATTTATTTTTATTTACTCATATTAGAAATATTATTGCTGACCCATTCTCAAATGTGAATTAATATTATGTATAATATAATATATATATTTTATGATTAAATATAATAGATAATTGTATGCAAAATATATATACATTCAGTCAAATATATAAAACATTAAAAATATTTTATTGTATGTTCATATAACAAGGATAATGTTATACTTGTATTATAGCACATATGTACACGGAATATTAATATTGGACATGATAATTATTTGCTTTAAATTTATTAACGTATTTAATTGTAATATTTTATATATAATGTATGAAAAAATATATATAATGAGACAACATTTTATGCATATAAAATATTAATTTTAATGTTTAAAATATATGTTTATTGTTTTCATGTTTTACGTTCCACGTAAAATTAAATTTTTTTACTTACGTTTATATATATATTTTACTTTTTTGAATTAAAAGCATACTTAATCAATGCGTATTATTATGTTATGAGACTATGAAATAAATAATATTAATCATATATATTCCACTGCACACGTAAAATGATGTATGGTTTTAATATGCTTAGTGACAACTTTTCATATAATATAAAGAATATAATTCATATATACTTATTATTATTTTTGCTAGAATTCCTTACAGAACATCAATAGTGAATAAATTATCAAAAAGGATACCAAATATATAGAAAATAATAGCAAGAAATTAGTACTATATGTTTTTTTTTTATTGTGATAATAGTTTTTTAAAAAGAATA